TTTGTCGATGCAAAGCACCCTAATAGAGCGTGTAAGCTTGAGAAATCCATCTATGGATTGAAACAAGCATCTCGCAGATGGAATCTTTGTTTCGATGAGAAAGTCGAAGAGTTTGGTTTTTCGAGGAGCGAAGATGATCATGTGTATATGTTAAGGCTAGTGGGAGTATAGTTAGCTTTTTGGTATTGTATGTGGATGACGTACTACTCATAGGAAATGACATCCCAACCTTGCAGGAGGTTAAATCCTGGCATGGGAAGTGTTTCGCTATGAAGGATCTTGGAGAAGTTGCCTATATCCTAGGGATACGAATATTGAGAGACAGGAGTAAGAGACTAATTGGACTTAGTCAAAGTACCTACTTGGATAAGGTGCTGAAGAGGTTCAACATGCAGGATTCCAAGAAAGGTGACTTACCAATCCAATGTAACGCCAAACTGAGTAAGACTCAGAGCCCGAGTACAGAGGCTGAGATAGCTGAAATGAGTCGAGTACCGTGTGCCTCCGTTGTAGGCTCGATCATGTATGCTATGACTTGTACTTGCCCTGATGTGGCCTTTGCTTTGAGCATGGTCAGTAGATATCAAGGGAATCCGGGCAAGGCTCACTGGACTGCGGTGAAGAATATTCTCAAGTACCTACGGAGGACTAGGGACTAGGTCCTTACCCTTGGTAGGAGTGATGACTTGAGAGTTGTGGGGTATAGTAATGCTAGCTTCCAGACTGATAGGGATAATTTCCACTTTCAGTCGGGCTGGGTTTTTACCCTAAATGGATGAGCAATTACGTGGAAAAGTTCCAAGCAGGAAACAATAGCTAATTCAACTTGCGAATCAGAGTACATAGTAGCAAGCGAGGCAGTAAAGGAGGCGATATGGCTAAAGAACTTCATTTGAGACCTTAGAGTTGTACCAACTATTAAGGAGCCTATGGATATTTTCTGTGATAATGAGGGTGTAGTTCCCTTAGCTAAGGAACCAAGGGATCACGACAGATCCTGGCACATCGGCAGAAAATACCACTTCATTAGACATCGGATTGAAGAAGGACTCCTCGTGGTAAAGAGGGTATCATCGGATGAGAACCCATCAGATCCCCTCACGAAGGGACTATGTAGGGTTAAGCATTTGCAACATGCGAGGCGTATCGGGCTGAAGGATGATATTAGTTTTACAGATTAGATAGCTGTTTATGAAACTTGTAAAATGTAATTGACATTTGATGATTAAATAAAAGTTGTTGTTTATTTATAAGTAAAGTGTTTCTATCTTGTGTCAATTATTTACTATGGTTTCAATTTTGAATGTTTTGACTTCCAGAATAATTACTTTATTCAAACTCTCCACAGTCAGTCATATGTTGGAAGTAGGTATAAATCAAGACTGTCATGAATTGGGCTTGTAGATGTTTAAGATGTTAGACATAGCAAAAGTTGCTAAAACATTCATGAGTGCTCATAAGTTCTGAGTATTGGATTCAACCCACGCTCACTTGTATCACTTCATGGAATTTATCTCGAGTGACCGTGAGACGGTAATATCATATAAGTCTTCAAACCTAGAGATATGAGTTGTTGATTATGAGTTGGTTGTGTATTGATTGTACGAAAACACATCGGTAACTCGATGTTATAAAACGTGTTTTTGTGTATGATTCAACAAGTAGTTAGTACAAGCATATGAGTCGAAGTTTATCGATTCCTTTTAATCCTTGGAGGATTAAAAGTGATATCTGGGCCCCTCGATAATTTTGTTTTGACCTATGTACCGGGCCCGGTCAGAACCAAATTGATGTGTTCAGTTTAGTTCTATGTCAAACAAATCGGAAATCAGGAAACAAACTGCTGGACAATAAGTACGACATTGTTCCATGTATTTGTCTGGCTGATATCTAGAACAAAGGATTATATGATCACTTATCTTAAATGGAAGGTCATCTTAGTTCCGCGAGACTTTGAAAGAGCTACCATTGCTGGTCAGTTCCTGAAGTCATACATGTAACTATAGTTATTAGACTTATCCAAATGGGAGACTGTTGGATAAGGTGTCTAAGTCCATACTATATTTAGTATGTACTTGACCCGGATTGGCATGGTCCATTTGGGTTGCATGGCATCATAACAATTGGATAGACAAAATGAGAAAAAGACACTTATGGTTTGTTAATATATTATAAGTTCTAATATATTAATATGAAATTATATTATTTAATTAGTATTGATCAAGAATTAATTTGGAATTAATTTGGTGATCAAAAGGAGACTAATTAAATATATGGGGATTGATTTGTAAATCATTCATTCTTATATAGTGGGCTTATGGTCTATGATTCACTTGATTGGGCTAGGACCCATTGGGTGCTCCATGGATGCTCCATGGAGGATAAAACCCATGGATCATGGAGGAAATGAAAAGTCATGCACATTAGGGTTTATATGGTGTAACCCTACATGTGACACACTATATAAAGAACCTCATGGTAAGCAAATTCGACCACTAAGACAAGAACAAGGAGGGCTAGCCGATTTTGAGTGAAAGTGTTCTTCTCTCAAGTTATTCCAAGAGTTGTTGTGTTGTGTGAAACATTTGAGGCATCACATTTGGGGTGCTAGGCTCACAAGGTCTTAAGGAATCCAAGCTATAAGAAAGGTATGTCATTCTACTAGTTTTTATATTACAAGTACCCCACGTCATGCTAGTTAGGATGAGAACCTTGGAAAAATCAAATTTGCATGAATATTAGAGAAAACATAGATCCAAGGTTTCTAGGGTTGTATGTACACCATAGAAGTGTTAGAATGATCAAAATCCATCATAGTATTAGTAGCATGATTATCATTTGGGTTATAACCTTCGATTTGGAACAAGCGTGTGACCGTCTATCTCATTCTCTGTTTGTGTGCGACCATGTTTTCGTCTAGTTTTATGTTGATATCAGTCTGTGTTGTGAAAGGAATTGTGTGTGATAGAAGGGCATGGCCCATGTTGTGTTCGGTTAGCATTAAAAAGGATGTTGATTGGGTTCCTATGGTGCTGGTTGTGAGTCTTCAGGCTATGGATGTGATGATGGAAAGATCGGTTTAGTGCAGTGAGCTTATCATTTAGTGGATAGCAAGTGTCACGATGTATTGTGAACTGGTGGCTGCATGATTGATATGGGTAAGACCTGATAGTCTTTTGATTGAGACTCTTAGGTCTCAGATTGTTAACTTTCTTGTGTTATTCGGGTCTTAGTGCATTGTGGAGGTCGGGAGACTTAGTGACTAGTTGGTTTGGATCATTTGGGCAGTTAAAGGTTGTTAGGAATTATAGTTATGCATCAGTAGTTGCTTGCAGTGTGTTTTCATTATGAACTCTGTTAGCTTGTGGGCTGTCTATTAGGAGTTTAGTTACCAATGTTGGGCATTCAGTTAAGAAATCTCGAGTCATGAAGTTCATTGTGAATGTCACGAGTGATTTGTCAAGTGGAGGTACACCTGAGCTAATATGGGATTTAGATGCAACGTGAGTATTTCTGGGTATTGGGTTAGTTGTCAGTGTATTCTCGATCGTTAGTCATTTCGTTCATTGTCAAAATCGGAGGTTTTCCGAAAGATTCGATTGGTGTTCCGACGAGTTTGCGCAGCTCATCGGAGATGAACGGTACCATTCGCAGTTAAGAAGTCGTTTTCACAAATCAGAACAAAACTGCGAAACCAATGTGGATTTTTCTGATGAGTTCCGATCTTTGCAGCTCATCGGAAGCGAACAATACCACTCGTAGTTAAGATGTCATTTTCACATATTGAAAGCCATTTCCGGTTCCGAAATATCGTTCGCAATTTGGAAGCCATTTTCAATTCCGATGAATCTTGTATAAACTTTTTGGAAAGGGAACTTCCCTAACGAAGGTTTTCGGGTCAGCTTTCGCGCACCAACTAATCCCCTGCTGCAAACATGAAGCTTTGCTTCATGTCCTGGAGTCACTGCAGGTGAACCTCTATGGCTACAAGGGTTGAGTGGTGCCAGGATTTGAACATGAGTCAATAGGTTATCCACCATATCTTCCACATGTCTTACCAAGTCACCACAACCCAAGTGGTTGTGTGCACTCCACACCTTCCTTACTTGTTTAATGTTTATCAAGATTGATTTTGGTCAACAAGTCAATCCATTACACTTAAATATAACTAATGAAAACAATTCACCTACATCATCTTGCACCCTTACCAAAATCTGATCACTAAACCGAAGTTCTCTTGACTCATATGTTGGATTCGGTCTTGGAGGAGGTCAATGGGGGCTTCCAAGAATATCAACAAGAAAAATAAGCTACTATTTTCTTTGGTTTATGCAACATGTTGGTTCGTTTAGATAACTAGAAACTCGGTTATTTTTGTAACGGAGAACACCTCGCTCTCTAATTAAGGTTGCATAAGAGATTCAAATCCAACTATTTAGTTGGATTAAACATCTTGCTAAATTTTGTAGCCTTAATTGACATTATTGGTGCAGTCCTCCTTTTACTGCTTGTAAGTTGTAATTTCCTGGTCTAGGTCCCTGCTATGGTTAATAAAATCTTCCGTAGTTGTAAAATGAATCCTTTAAATACTAAATGAAGAAATAGTTTGTTCACAAAAAAACAATTTCATGAGCTCTTTACGAGTTTAATACTTGAACTAAAAGTAAATTCATAAATTTCAAACTCTGTAACTCCATCTTTATAATAAGTCAGTGAATGAAATGATGTTAATTTCTAACAGCCAAAATAACATACTAGCCTTTGTATTTTCTTTTTCTTACTTTCCTATCTCCCCGTGTTCAAATATTAAATATACATATCGAATCTATAATTCAACAATAAAAACGCTTACACATGTATTTGACTTTTACAACATTTGCATTAGTTGTATAGATCGTGCAGGAATTTTAAGGAAAAAATAACCTCAACACCGTCTATCTAAACATCCCTCGTGGCCATCGCATCATGGAATAGAATCCTTTGTATATCGAAGAAGCAAACGAGTTTCCTCTTTCACCTTATAAATTACAAGCACAGAACCCCTCATTTTCACCATCCAGATCCAACTTCTCTCTCCTATCTCTGTGTAAAAATGGCAAAGTTTGTCTCCATTCTGCTTGTTTTCTCCTTGGCTTATACTTCTGTTGTTTCTGCTGCTTCTCCTCCAACTCCAACGGAAGGTATGTTACAATTTAAAAAACACACAGTAGCATCATTACACAAATAAACAACCATTGACGCCATTAATGTCGGTTGTCTTTATGCAGGTCTCTTACCAAACGGAGACTTTGAACAACCACCGAAGGCAAGCAACATTAGAAAAAAAGTCCTGATTGGCAAAAACGCTTTACCAAAATGGGAGATTAGTGGTGTTGTGGAATACACGCAGGGCGGACCTCAGCCTGACGGTATGTACATCCCCGTCGCACACGGCGTCCACGCCGTCATACTCGGGAACGAAGCAAAAATCTCCCAAACAATACCCGTGAAAGCTGGATCTTTGTACGCTATAACTTTCGGAGCTTCAAGAACTTGTGCGCAGCAGCAGGTGTTAAGAGTGTCTGTGCCATCACACTCGGGGGATCTTCCGCTCAAGACTTTGTACTGTGCTGACGGTGGCGATGTGTATGCGTATGGCTTTAGGGCTAATTCAAGCAGCGTGAGGTTAACCTTCCACAACCCTGGTGTAGAAGAAGACCCCAAATGTGGCCCAATCATTGATGCAGTCGCCATTAAAGAACTCCACCCTCCCAGACTTACTCCACGTAAGTAACTCTCAGAAACTTTAAATCAGATCAAAAGCTCATTCCTATGATCAATTCATGAATATTTTTTGTTGCAGATAACTTGGTGAAAAATGGTGGATTCGAGGAAGGTCCTCGTCTATTAGTAAACTCCTCCAATGGCGTCCTTCTCCCTCCTCAACAACAAGACCACACATCTCCTCTCCCCGGGTGGATCATCGAGTCTCTTAAAGCTGTTAAATTCATCGACTCCAAGCATTACAACGTCCCACATGGCGACTCAGCCGTTGAGCTGTTGGCCGGGAGAGAAAGCGCCGTCACACAAATCCTCAGAACAGTACCTAACAAACTCTACACCCTTTCATTCGCCATTGGAGATTCCAAGGACTGGTGTCTTGGAGACATGATTGTTGAAGCATTTGCTGCGAAAGAGAACCTGAAAGTACCATTTAAATCGGAAGGGAAGGGGGAGTGGAAGATGGTTAGCATGAAGTTTAAGGCGACATCTTCAAGAACCCGAGTGAGCTTCCACAGCTCATATTACCACACTAGGGCTGACGACACCGTGTCCCTTTGCGGTCCAGTGATTGATGAAGTTCGCGTGTTGTCGGTCCGCGCCTAGAGGTAAATTTGGTCTGTTTTAGTTCGATATTTGTAAATCAGACATTCCATGATATTGGGTGACATTGATTGAAATGCATCATGTGACCACAATATTGTCAACTGTAATTTGGTTAAATAAAAAAAGATGAATTGCAAAAGAAGTCTAAAAGCTGGCTGCATGCACTTGTATTTCTTTTCTATTGAGTTGTAATAAACATAAACTTGAATTCTTTTATTAGAGTTATGTTTAATTAAAAAATGAAAACCATATTTACCAAAAGATGTATAGTTGAAAAAATAATCAGTAATACGTTTAATATCGAAAAGATCCATAACAATTAATCGAGTCAAATACTTGTACAGTCAGTTTTTAACAACACTTGAAGACTCGCGTGTGAGAGCTTTTACCTTTATACATATCATGTAGTAAATGTTCTAATTAATTGATAGAATAAAAAAATATTTAGTCAACTCATGACGCCTCTGTCGCACTTTAAAAAACTTCCCTTTCCAATCGGAACATGCAAGGGGCTCAACGTTTTCTTCCAAACCTTCCGCAATGTCCTCTTTATTATGGTTAATGATTCTTCATTAAATCAAAAACATACAATTACAAAAATATATATACAAGGATACAAACTAAAATAACCACTTTTTTTTATAATGCAACTCACAGCTTATACAAAATGGCGCCATTTCTGAAAATTCTGAAAAAAAAATGGAACTTAACATTTAAAGATTTTTCTTAAGAGATACATGGATTCCACGAGCCAAATTAATTTTACATGTTTATCTACTTAGATATTATGTCGTTATTTATAAAGTAGATGTATGGAATGTGAAGAACATATCTAGATACCAAGAAAAAATATGGAACATATCTTCTATGCAGGCCTAGATTCTATTTTTACAGTAATTTTTTGATAGATTAGTTACTATACGGCTTCTTTTGGTCAAAAATCAATTTAATAACTTCATAACTAAATTAGTAAGTTTAGTGTGATGTTTTATATGAAGATTTTAAGAAAACAGATTGTACACTGTCAAATATGTTAAAGTGCGGAAGATGTTGAATATGGTCAAGATCTTGAGGATAAACATATTGATATTTGTTATAAAGACTTCAAACGAAAAGAATGATCGGAATCGTGATTAAATCTAAGATGTAGATAAATATATGTTTAGAAAATAGGACAAAAATAGTGTTAATGTTGTAAATATGTTGAATATAGCAATAAGTCTTAAGATGTTCAATATGTCGAATATTCAACAAAGATATTAAAAATATTTTTAGTATATGTATAATGTATCAAAAATACGTATAACTGTAAGTATTTTAAAAACACATATTGAAAGTTGAAGATAAGGACATATAAATGTAGACATCAATGCGAGAACACGAGATATACAAGGAAAATTCGTAATCATTTAGGATCTCCGTCATAAAGCCTCGGGTGGTGACTAATGTCACTCTTCCTTAGAACCTTTATTAGAAATTAATAGGAGAATTGCAAGTGCAAATTGATCGTGAGTAGTATGAGCAAAGGCTAAGAAGAGTAATTAAGTGAGTGTATATGTGTGTACGTGTATGTGTACCTTTAGTCTAAAAATTTGGGATTTTCCTCTATTCTTGCTTGGCCAAGTGTTTCGGGGAGACTCAAAGTATATTCTTGTTGACCAAGTGTATGATTGGCTTAGTCTTCATTTGAATATATAACTTTTTAATTATGCATAGAGAAATACAAAAGATGTGATGGCAATTCCAAAAAAAACTGGCTTGATCAGGAGTTTGGGCCATTCAAGATGTTAGTATAGATTCATGCAAGATGTTAGATATAATAAACTAAAGGTAAAAAATATCACCCATAACAATTACTCCCAGAAATTACCATCTCAAGATCTTGAGAAATAGGGATTTTTAGAGCCAAAATCATATTGTTAGGTGGTGATGGAACATGGCGCTCGTATCCGAGATAAGTCTCATATGTCCATGTTCCTAGGACATTCAAATATTCCACGACCTAGATTTTTGCTTGCAATCTTCTTATAAATGCAAAACCTTGTTTAGTCTTACCATAATTACTCGCCGTCTTGAAGATTCTTCGATTTTATGTAAATAATTCTTTCTTTTTCTCATATTGTTTAACTTCCTTTTTGTTAAATATCATGGGTAAGAATCTTACTAGGTCTACAGTTAGGATTAAAGTACTAATCTTTGAGGATTTCATTAAATCGGGAATACTACCCAGGTTGAGAGTCATAAATGTGCATATTCAAATGTTGAGATCAAATCACTTCAATCATCAAGGCAGTTCCCAATGGTACTGTTTTTAGGGTTTTACTACAAGGCTAAGGCTTGATTTTCTTTCTTCGACATGGGTTTATTTTTACGAACTTTGATTCTCAATCGGGCTTTCGTTGTCTTTTCCTTTAATGTTGAGGCTTTTCTCTCTATCGGTCCCTCAGTGAAAATCTAAAAGATACTTGTTATAGGAATAAGAAAGGCAAAGGGCAAGGCTATAAGTCCTGATCCCAAGAAGAGGAAGATCACTATGGAACTTAGCCAGAGACTTTTTGAGGGTTTAGGACCATTTGAGATCAAACATAAAATCATTACATTTACCCAAACTGTAAGTTAAATCTTATTGGATCACTTGTTCATTATCACTGCTAAAAAGAATTTTTCTTTTAAGATACTACTCTGATGTTAAGGATACTGAGGAGATCAAGCGGGATCTTGAGGCCTCGAAGAGACAGATGAAGATCAGGTTGTCTATAAAGAAAAAGAATGGAAGAAAAAAGAGAAAGATATTAGGCTTAAGTTTAAGGATCTTACAGCCAATAAGAAAGAGGTGTTCAAGAGGTGTGTTGAACTTATGCAGAGGATTGAGGAGATAACTAAAGACGAAGGGTTTTATTCTGCATTCTGTGTCTGAGGAAACATTTATGATGACGGATGATCTCAAGAAAGGTAATGAATCTTCTTGGGATCAAATGGTGTGTGATGAATCTGGTATCTCAGTCGAGGTTGTATTGATTTATAAGGTAAGACTCGTTCGTCTCAAGCCCAGCCGAACATGAGAAAATAGAACAACGTCAGACGTTCTTCGGGTGTCGAACCTGGGAGAAGCTTCGATTCTTAATTCAGATTTAAGATATCGGTGATCATTATCGAATTATCAATGAGATGTGGTTGCCTAGAGCATACATGTTTGTCGTCAAGCTAGTCTGATTTTATACTACCTTTGCATAGGAAAGTGGAGATAAGGACAAGCCGAGCAGGTCCCTGTTTCATCTTCATTAATGCACCTAGTACGAAGGTACAAAAGCAGTACTTATGAACAGTCGAAAGTTTTGTCATTCTCGTTATCTAAGTTGTATCGAACCATTGGTCCATTAAAGGCTGTTTGTGCATAGTTCACAATGTTCCTCACAAGTCAAGTGGTTCGGCTTCATCTTTCATGGTTAATCATTTCGCGATACACTCATTCGGACGATGTATCAGTGGTCCGGGTTCGGCTCGACCGAACCACTTTTGTTCGGAGGTGACATACCTCATTAAGTCCCCTAGGTTCGGATTATTTTTAATAATTCAAATTTACTTCTCTTTTATCAACACCAGCCTCTAATAGATAGACTTGTCTATCAAATCAGGTATTAGATTCAACCGTTCGGCCTCCCTATGACTCATCATTACCAATCTTATTACTGTTACCTCGAAATTACTAATTGCCCCTTATTTATCGGGCACGATTGAATCATTTTTCTTCAACTGCTTCTTCGATTTTAACTTCCCTCTACTCTCTATGCTTCTAATTCTTGTAACTTCTTTGATTTCTTCCTTCATCCCTTTATCATGGTGGAAGATAATCATCCCGTCGACACAGATTTCTCTACTTTGACTCAAGGATTATCCGATGAAATCATCAAGTCTTTCCACAGTGATCGCCAATTCAAGCCCATTCTTCCTTCTATGGACCAGCCTGTTAACATCTCTCCAGAAGGCTATGTCGGTGTTTACACCGTGTTCTTCAGTTCTGGACTCCGCCTACCCTCCTTTGAGTTCTTAAATTCCATTCTTGGGTATTATGAACTCCACATTGCCCAAATTACTCCCAACAGCTTCAAAAAAATCGTGTGTTTTGTGTTACTGAACAAAGCCCTAATCATAGGTTCGTCTTTATCTTGTTTCATCAGTTTTATGTAACTATGACGAGCGGCGATTGGGTGTCTTTTTCTTTGCGCTCTGGAGCTATCAAAATATGCGACGGGTTACCCACCTCTATCAAGAAATGGAATACCGAGTTCTTCTTTGTAGATGCATCTGCTTTCGGAGTTGTTATGCAGTTTGAAAGCCTTTTAAACCGTGACCATGAACCAAACCCTGAACTTACTGTAGATAATCAATACACTGTAGACCGATTGGTTGCTAATTCTATCAAATGGTCTGATCATGACGATTCGATTCTCGAAATTGTCGGACAATCAAACACGCTTCTTGAACGCCTTCTCCGAAAATGTAATACCCATATTCCAAGGTTGTTGAGGGGCCTACCATGAGATCTGAAACTCATACCGAAGGTGAAGCAGTAATGGAGTTTGAATCTAGTATTGACTCCCACGTATAACCCTAGTCTGGCGATCCCGCTGTGATCTTTTCGTCTCGCTTTGACAAAAGAAAAAAGAAGGACGATCAGTCTAAACGTAAACCGCCAGGTTTTTCATTTTCCTATGTGACAACAATCAATTTTGGTTAAACAAATTCAACAAAAGTCAACCAGGTCAACTCAAATCGTATTAGGATTTTAAGAGAAATGTGATATTTCCTAATGTTTCTAATGTACTATTCACAACTTATAATACAAAGTACCTCTCTGGTTGCCAATTATCGAATATAAACCCTAATTAGGGTTAGTAACGTAACAACCTGATAATTCAATTGTATATTATTTGGGTATAAATAATATCCATAACACAATGTAGTGGAGTTCATAAACCTTACACTACATGACAAATTAATAACGAAGGTTACATATACAAATTTTTGGTGAATTCGTCACCAAATGCGACAGATTCTATACCCGGCTTAAACACTCAGATGTTAACGAAAATAATTAGGAATTATCCTAATTTTCGTGTAATGTGCTATTATTTTTTGATGATATTGATTTTTATAATAATTTGAATTTAAATGATTCACATTAAGTAAATATACATCAGTTTTACCATACTTTTTATAAAAATCACAAACTTTTATAAAAATTACTCATTCTTTTATTAAAAAAAACAAAAGAAACATTTTTTGTCTTATATGGTGATGACATCTTTATTAAAGAAATAATATTTTAATAAAAGTCAACCTCTACACCCTACACCCTACCAACCCCACCCCTCCCCCTCCCCCTTTAAACTTATGCCCCCCTCCCCCCTTTCACTTCATAATGTTCATATTCTTCATCCTTCATCTCCTTCCTCTTAAGAACAAGTTTTCTTCTCAAGGTTAATTCTCCATAAGTTGGTTCTTCATCTTTTGGTATGTTTTTCCTTACTAATCTAGTGATTCTACACACATATATACTAGTTTTGTTGCAATTACACACATTAGCATGTGTTAATATCCATAGGATATTTCGATCTTCAAGTGTTCTTCAAGTGTCTTCAAGTGCTCTAAGCTTCAAAACATTCATCTTCATCTCTTTATCCACCAAGAAACACACTCAAGGTAAGTTCATACCCCTTATTTTTTGATTTTATCCAAGTTTTAGGGGGGGGGGGATACAACTAAAGTTGTATAATAACACAAGTTGTTATACATGCTTTGTCTCCAAGTTGTGTAAAAGTATTATTTACATGAAATAATGTTATTACCTAGTGTTATGAGCATTTATGTTTGGTATGTTGTTTAAAATTCAAAACTACGAAAAATGAGTATAAACTTGCTATATGTTCTTGAGAAAAGGCCACAAAAACAAAACTCTAAAAACTATGGTTTTTATGAACATAATATGACTTTTCTAGCAAAAATGGTTTTAACCAAGTTATTACATCATTTTTGTGGGATACAATCCAAAATATGTTATTTTGGACATGTGTTATGAAACTAGTTAAAATACCAGGGATTTGGTTTTACAAAAAGAAAACCTAAAAACCTACCATTTTTATATAAAAGTAGGGTTTTCTAGCAAAAATGGTCATGACTAGGTTCTGGTACCATTTTTGTGAGATATGACCTAAAATATGTTGTTTTAAACATATAAGGTTAGTTTGACTTGACATCCACAAAAAGGTAAAAATAAATTTTACCAAGTTTATAACTCAATTTTTACCGTTTGGTGACATAAAAATGGTCAAAACTAGCAAATTGGCATCACCATAATAAATGTTCATATACTTGTGTTAGATATAAATTATATGTTATTTAGGGACATCTAAACATGTTAACTTATATATATGTGAGTATATGGGCACATCAAAACATTTGTAATAAACTATAATAGGTATAGTTTATGGGTCAATGACACTATTTTACCGTTTTGATACAATAAGAATAATTATCTAAAAGTAAATACTATGGAAAGTTGATATTTAAACTTACAAGGGTTTTCATTACACTAAACGTAAACTTGTTGAAACAATTATGTGAGACAAAGTCTTCACCATGCCCACTAGAGTACACATTAAAGTCCTGAAATATAACTAGAATCTCGGTAAGAGAGCGTGGCACTTGTATATAGATCTATACAGGACTGACAATCCCGCACCTAAGCTTCTAAATAGCTAGACCGGCAGGTCTGGGATGACAAATGTCTAACATTCCGACGCCTGAAGAACGTCGTAGCAGGCCAACTTCGGTTTTAGCGTGGTTGTAATAACTCACAAGTGGACTCAACAATACAATTGGTCTACGGGGTAACATGCGTTCAAATGGTTCTATATAAGAATAAAACTACATAATACTATTTTAAGTATAGAAATACTTACACATTTTTGGTCATAGGGCATTTAAGACTACAACTCATTTTTAAGAAAATATTGGATGTTCTAGGAACATACACTATCATTTTACAAGGAAAAAGTTACAGATTTTTCACATAAAAAACTCTTATGAACTCACCAACTTATTTGTTGACACTTTTCAAAACTACTTGTATTCTCATGGAACCGTTAAACAGGTAACCACAAGGCTTTTGAGGATGGGACGTTACGGCGTCATACTATGTATTTTTGTCATCATAATGTAATTGATTCGAAACATACAATACTTGGCAACAATGTAATATTCTCAATTATGTTTATGATGGTTGTGTTTGGTTTGATTCACTATTGTACATTATGTTGTGGTACCGTTCATGAAAGTCATCCACCCCAAGATGTTTTCGCCATCCTGGTTTGGGGGTGTGACATCCTAGCCGGCACGAAAGGTGAGCACATCATCGAAGCGTAAGAGGGATCTTTCTTCGTCTGAGGGAGTAACCGTCACCGAAGTAGAACATATGGAGCCTCAATTCGTTCCCCAGGACCAACCGAAGAACCCTACAGACGTGGTTTCGCAAAAGTGACTTCATTCTACTCATCACATCAAACATGTGAACCTTCCTGATTCTAATAAGGTGGTTGAAGAGCCTTCCTTGAACAATCCTTCAATTGCCAAGCCTCCAGTGCCTCCAAACACAGATCCTTCCTTACTTCATGATTGCCCAGTCCAAGATGACCCTAACCTGGTAACTGCTATTAAGGCTTTATTTCATCCTTCGCCAAACCTTACACCACCTCCTTCTTTAAGTAGTTCTCATATCACAGATGTTATGGTGATGAATCATGTACTAATCCCTAAGGCATTTGATACTAAGGTTCGGTCGATGATGTCCCTGCTACGGAAGGATGCTAGCCAACGAGATTTTTTAGGAAAAGATGTTCAGTTCTAGTGTTGCAACCACAACTTCCACAACTACAACCCCTGTCATTGTGGTTAATTGTCACACATCGAAACCGATGACGGAAGCGTTCCGGGGCGGAGGACGTCATGTGTAGTATCACAACAGTTGTATCATAGTAAGCGAAGTAAACACAACCATTACATTATAATAAGAATATTTACATTGTTGAAAACATGGTTTATACATAACAGTATATAACAAAAGTAAAAGACGTGACTCCAGAATGTTCCGTCTTCTCCAAAAGTTGGCAAGAGTACCTGTCTATTGATGCCCTGAGAATACAAGCTGTTTTAAAATATCAGCATAAAGCTGGTGAGTTCATAAGCGTTTAGTTCTGAAGAAAGAAATGTTTCTTTGATCATTTGAAAAGTGTTTCCCAAGAAAATCCTATATTTTCTTATGAAATATGTTTGATTATCCATTAGTTATATGTTAAACAGCCTGTTTATGAAAGGTTGAGTTATTCCAGGAAAATCCTATATTTTCCTTAAAAGTTGATAGTTGGTTATCGATTCTGAAATGAGGTGTACAAGTATCTACCATACTTGTATCGTTAGATGTAGTTTCCTTGAAAAACCCTGTTTACTCTCTGTGAGATGTATTAGCCGTATTACATAAATAAAACTAATAAAGAAGTAGTGAACTAGATCCTAAGAGCATTACTAATGCCCTCTAGTAATCAAATCGGTTATTACTTTGAGGTTAGTTCACTTGTTTCATTATTACAAAAGTAAATCTCTGTTATCTAGGTTGCGAGTTTTATAACCATACATTAAACTAGATATGGCACGTAACGGGGCCAATATCCTTTTATGACTTTGTCACCCGTAGACCTGAAGGTCCCATTGTAGCTAGCAGCGAGGTGCGGGGTAGTCAGTCCCGTATAGATCTATACACAATAGTCACGCTCTCCCTACAAGAGATTCTAGTTATAAGGGTTAGTCCTACACTCACGAAATCCGGTGGAGTGTTACCAAGGACGTGTCTCCAATCCTAAAATAACAAACTTACAAGTAATAGTACCAAAAATTCTGTTTATGTTTTGTATAAATCCTTTATAAAATATCACATTTTATGATAAGATTTACAAGTTGCTTGCTTTAGTTTTGAAAACTGTTTCTACGAGTTGATTTCTTAATCGATTGGTAAAACGGTTTTCTGAGTTAAAAGCATGCTGAACATATAATCATTCTATTCAAAATGAGATAACTTGAGCACAAGTTTCCTTGTACTTTTGCTTGTATTCCCCCCTGAAAACATGAAAAAAATTCGGAAAAAGCGTAGGGGGTATGAACTCACCTGAAGTGAGTGATTGGGATGAACGGATGGTATAGGATGCTAAGTGTCAAGTGAAGACTTGAACACACACACGGATCCTATCAACATATAAAGACACATATATGAATACAAACAACTAATTAACCAAGTTAAGACACCCTAGGACATGGAAAACACTTTGATTCAAGTGCTAGAAGTACCAAGGGTTGCATCTAAGGGTTGTAAAGCCACTTAAAGGAAGTTTTCGGTCCATGAAGGTTTTTTGGTCCATGAAGGGTTTTCGGTCCATGAAGGGTTTTCGGTCCATGAAGGTGACCGAAAACTCATGATGTTTGGTGCATGTGG